ACAATATCCGTACACGGAACGGAAGCACTGCATGCTAAGTTCACCGCAGGTTGATTCGATGAGGTTCCAAGTATTTCTCTAAATGTGATGTTGCTAATTTTTAGTGCTGTATCCTGTAAGAAAAATATCGACACAGAATTAGCATTTTGTGAAGACTCGACTACTTAGTGGAAGATCGATGTTGTGTGAATAGAATCACTAACGTGCGTAAAACAATCCATGTGATCACAGTAGAATTGGTCGACATTGATGATTCTACTCGCTTCTTGACTATAGATTCTCTCGAAGATCATGTTTCTAGCATAACCACTGCCTCCCTGAATTACAAATGGTTAAAAAACGAACAATAAGGACATGTTTAGCGCATAGTATAGAGAAAGGACACGATCACATCATAAATCAAAGAATGTGAAACATTAGAGGTAAAATACCTGCCATGTCTTTATTCTAGCCCCATTCATGGTTCCTATGAAGACAACATCACTAACTTCGACATATTCGACTGTATCATGGCTTCCATACTTGCCTAAACTTCCAATGCTGTTTCAAGGTAAAGGAAAAATCAGGCTCGAGTAGAATTTAAATGTCATAATAAGGAGATCGTGAGTTTTACCTTATGCCATGCCCTGGTCCACATATGATGTTGCTGATCTTCAGATGCGATGATCCCGTTACTATGGAAATGCAATCATCACCTACGTTTTGAATGACGTGAGGAAGTTACAAGACTAACCGAAGTAACTTAATAAAGACACGAACATTTTTCAAGAAGTCTAAGTACCTGTCCCAATACGGCAATGATCAAGGACGACATTAGTGGACCCCGCAATGTGGATGCCATCAGTGTTTGGACTATCTCCTGGACTATCGATTGTTATATTGGAGACAGAAACTGATGATAAGGTATCCAGGACAACATGCATATGAGGAACATCTTTAAAGGTAAGACCCCTTAGAGTAACATTGTTAGCTGATGATATCTTTAGAGCCTGTCATTGAAGAATTTCGTTGAGGGGTAAAGTCTATTATACAAAAATTGTGAATATCAAAAAGAGTTATAGTATAAGATTCGAAAAAAACTTACATTTGGCCTCGAGTCGAGCTGCAAAAAGTTGGAAATAGAATCTATGTTAGAAATTCGAAATTGAAGTTGAAAAATAAGGATGAATACGCGATAGACAAATTGGCAATTGAATTGATACCACACATTTTTAGTATCACGTAGTACTTGACAATTAACAAGGTTGGAATTGAGATCGACACTAAATCTCATGATCATATATCTAAAATCTTAAACTAATATAATTTACCTTTGTAGTACTCCACCATTTACCTCCATGGCCGTTTATTACACCATGTCCAATTATCGACAAATTATCGACGTATCTAAAATCCATCCAATTATCGCAAGCATTATTGTTGCATCTCCACTCGGATGGTTCACTTGGTCCAATTATATTTCCATTTATCTGCAAAATTAGGTCATAAAAATTAAAATAAAATACGAAGAATAATATAACATGAAACTGTAAATACTAATAGTTAATCATGTGAAATTAAGCGGCCGATTCGAACCACCCGGTCAACTGCCTGAACCGGCACAGGTCACAGAGGAGTGTTTGGATCGGTTCGACATATTTTTAAAGGCCAGAACCGGGTCATTGGCCTGTCCTATCCTACTGTTACATTTAATTCTAAAAATTCTATTAAACCAAAATTTTCCAAATTACTACCATACGCAAATTCATCAACCCTGCTTCTTGTCCCGGCTTGGGGACAGGGTCAGGCGCCCCCTATTGGAGGGGCGCATGTCCCTGGTCGGCGCCCCTCCAATAAGAAGGCGCCATGTGGTGCCCCTGTCTTCAACCCTGTCCCCAAGTCGGGATAGGGGGCTTTTTTCCAGATTCATTTTCGTCTTATAAGTAATTGTCTTATTTAAAACGAGACATTCAGTTTCAAAAATAGAAAATAATGAAAAGGTTCACCAATTTGGCTTCTTCCTTTTTTTTTTTCCAAATTTTTGCACGTTGTCACTTGCCGATTACTAATTGGCATCTGACGGTCTAGTTCGAATAATTAACAAGCGATTGAAATAATACCTCAACGTTAATAATTTTGTTATTGCAAGGGCCATCGAAATACAAAGGATTGATCAAGAACGTCTTCCCCGAAGGAACTTCCATAGTCGAAGAAGTAGACGACGACTTGCATGTTGCTTCCCATGCTTGCGAAAAAGCCTACAACAAAACCCACAAACAAAGAGAAGTCAGTTAATTAAAAGATGTTTTGTATTCAAACTTTATAATAATACAATGTCTTACATTGGTGTCATCAGTTCGACCATTACCGACTGCACCAAATTGAATCACATTAAACTTCGTATCGGAATATGTTAATCCGAACAGTGGAACACTAAATGTAAGAACCAACAAAAATATTTTCAATAGTTCCTCCATTGTCATATAGAAGAAAACTCAATTTATATATGAATATAGAGAATTAGGGTTTGTGGAAACTATTAAAGAGAGAGTTACAGAGAACGTAACAGGGACAAGGCTTATATATATGAGGTTCTAATTGGTTGATGAGAAGAATTTGATTAGGAAAAGGAAATCTGGTGGGTGAAAATTTTCAAGAAGAAAGAAAGTTCTAATTCTACCGGGAGAAGATAGCCTACTTCTATCAAAAGTTGGAATAAAAATAATTTGCAGGTTTATGTAATTATTAATAATTAAGGTGGAAAGAGTTGTGAACAACCTGAAACTCTCATTAAAAAAAGAATTTTAAAAATCATTTACGTATCAACAAACCGGTTCAAGCCATCATCAGCAAGACTGGATCAGTAGTCCACACACCACTCTGGACCTTGCTGGTTCAGACACTTGGCTGATCGGCCCGTCCAGAGATTTTCCTTTATTTTTGTGATCTAAGATTTGTATAAAATTTGTAAACATAAGTATTTTTAGTGACTTCAATTAATTCTGTCTTAACATTTTTCATTGCAAGTCTCAAGACAAGATAAAGAGGATGGGTTTCGATAACATGATACTCGATGCAAAGTTTTATACCATGTCGTAACAAACATTTTGTTGGACTATGATCGATACTAATACAACATCGCACAAAATTTAGTAGCAATGAATTGAGTCGGACAAATTATTTCGAGTCCAAATCTGTTGTTACGTGAGAAAGGTTTTAGATTGTGATCATTCGCAATGGTACTAGAATAATTCGAATCTTTTGGGGGAAGAATTTATATATTATTTTAACTTACAAACAGATAGAGATGAGTGGTAGCTAAATAAATAATAATTATGGTTTCATTGAAATATGTGGTTGGAAATAATGTTTGATCAATTTATAAATTTATCAAATGGATGCTAAATTAAGTTTATTCTCAATAAATTTGATGTCACTACATAGATTTTCAATTTAGTTGACTCCATAATGATGTAAAGTCCATGTTTGGCCTAGAACTCATTTTCCTTTGTTTGCGTTTGATTGCGAGCGTGAATTTGCATAGAAAGAAAATAAATTCTAGGTAATTTAATTGTCTAAACTTATTATAGAAATTATTAATTAAATGTGTTTGATTGGTTTAGTTTTCTACCTAGAAAATATTATTCTTGTCCTTTTTCTTTTTTTCTTTTTTTTTTTGTGGGTAGATGAGAGAGAAAATTACAGGAAAAATAAAAATCACCTCTCTCTAAGGAAAATATCTTCCATATTTTTGAAGAAAATATAATCACATGACCATGGAAAATATTTTTCATGAAGAATAAAATGTTGATCAAACATCCAAAAAGTAGGAAATTTGGTGAAAAATGATATTTTCCATAAAAAAATAAAGTCAATCAAACCCAAATTTTCAATCACATATTTATGGGATCCAAATTTTGGCTTGATTTGCATCTTTGTTGACTCAATTTACGTCCATGTTTATGTAGCTATCTTTTAATTTCGTACGTCCAAGCTTTTCCTCCTACAAATCAAAATAGAACGGAAGAAAAATGAATTTTATTAAGAAACTTTTAGATCACGCCATTAGTAAATTTATTGCTTGCAAATAAAAATGTTGAAAATCTCCTATGAATTTTTCAAACATGGACAGTGTTAGGGGCAAATCATACTTCAAGCTCACGGTTGTCAAATTTTGTAATATAATTGTGAAGTTATGATATTGAACCAACAGAGATTGAAAATCAAATTCTTATTAAGTACTATAATTAAAATAGCCCCTTACTTTACTTAGATAATTGAATTTTATGATATCAATGTAATTTACTTTGGAAGTGTTTGACTACTCAACAATTTTGGTGCAAAGTTTAAGAATCAAGTAGCATGATATGAGCCCGGGGTTTTAATTTCATCTGACTATCAACTCTCAATTCTTTAACTATTTCTAATTGGTTTTTAAAAGTTTATAAATTAGAACCCTAATATATTTCAACTCCCTCTCTCGATTACCGAGTAAAAATCATTCCTAAATTTCCATTTCAATATTTCTATTCCGAATTAAAAATCTAACAATTCATAAGTTGTATGCACTACACCAAAAACTGCCTTTTACAACGGTCGAAAAACGTTGCTAGGACGTATGTTGCAAATCTCAATATTGTCGTAGAATAAAAGGATACAAGTTTTTTAAACGCTGCAAATAACATTTTTGCAGCGTTTTTCTAAATGTTGCAAATAACATTTTTACAACGTTTTTGAAATGTTGCGAATAACCTTTTTGCAGAATTTTTTAAACATTGCGAATAAACATTCTGCAACATTCTTTGATTGTTGCTAATAACCTTTTTTGAATGTTGCAAATACCTTTTTGCAACATTTTTTTACCATTGTCGTAGGTTTTTTTAAGCAATAATTTATGCATATTGATTAGCAAAATCGAAGATAAATCCTAATGAACAAATTTTGGAATTGCATAAAATTTATAATTTAATTACGAATTTAGGAATCATATAGTAAAACTTTAAATGTCATACAACACCGCCTAAACAAGAGAGCACAATTCTCTTGATAAATCAGTACACTTAAATTATCCATCCACCACAATAAGAAATTATCCATAAACCCAACATATGGCAATAGATGGCTTCAATGCACGACTATGTCACCACACTTACTAATAAGGTCTGCATCTTCAAGCCAACCTACATGGTCGAGATCAATCTCGCCCAGTGAAAACTCCACTCTTATAGAACTAAAAGTCGAATCCACTAGCATCAATGGCAACAAGACACTCGTTGTTTAGCCATGGCTTTAAGCAATGCTGACTCGCTATTAGCAGGAACATCCTCGTACCCTGTAGTCTTAGTAGCATGGGAGGATTCCTTCTCACTGTTGCAGGTGTGGTTTGTGCCTGTGTATGGGTAATTAGATTCAATTGTTAGCTCGTTGTTCTTGATGATGAACTCAAACGCATTATCCATTAGACCTCCATCGCAGCCCAAATCTTCACTTGTATCACAATCCACAAGTTCTTGTTCGGATAATGAAATCAATTTTCCTGTTGAAATTCGATTTATTCCTTCAGTAGCTACAACAGCTGAGAAAGCCCAGCAACATCCTACAATATTTGTACAAATAGTTAGATAAACTGAAAATTTGATCTTAGGATCACGAAATATATAACAAAGAACTGAGTTAAAATAGTGGATACCATAGCCCTAGTAATCCCAAACTGAAACCTATACGATTATAAGATTCAGATGCAAAGCAGGTAGTTACAAGGTTGCAGACAAAATTTATGAATACATTTTTCTTTCCATGTTTAGACGATAAAGTAGTTAGGAAAATGGAAGTTATCTACCTTCCCAGAAAGATCATGGACGGAGTTATATGATGCAATTCACTCATCTGAAGATGGGTTCCGTTCATTACTATCAATTCAATTGGTGATTCCCACACAATCAAGTACTTTATTTGAGCTAAGGACATAAAATACAGTTTTTCATGATGTACAGGAGTCCTAATGGCACCTCAGTTGTACATTGCTTATTCCGTTAGTCTTACAAGAATAGAAAGAACAGGAATGTGAAGTGTTGAGTTTTTATAAAATAAATTATAAAATTGCACTTGGCCAAAAAAAACAAGGAGCATATCCTTGGATAGGAAAATACACTTGATATAGATGAGATGGCAAGCAACGAGTGTGTCTTTAAAGCAGCATCTAGGCTATAGTGTATCACATAGGTAATGTTTTCCTAGTGGAATCATGCGTCTTAAATGTGAACTCATTTTAACATTGATCGCTAATCCTTCAAAGTAGCAAGTCAGTCCAAGCATGGAATTATCCAGGCTTTATCCATGAATCAAACTTCCAAATCACATGGAATTTGAGCCGCAAAACATAACGCATTTCTTTTCTTTTTATTTTTCCCCTTTCTAGTTTAAGATTTTAGTAAAGCATGCACCTACATTAATCAATTAAACACATTAACACTTTTGTGTTAGGTCCATTTATTGTCCCTAACTGAATAAACCTAATTGTGGAATTCATTTTACCATTGGCCGCTAATAACTGAATGGTAGAGCCGCTCAATCAATTCCCATTGAAAAAAAAAAAAAAAAACACACACAAAATGTCATAATTAAAGAACATACATTATAGTAATGTAATGCAGCAATGTAGCTCTCCATTTGGGCTTTCACTCTTATGCAAATTAACTCATAAACTCCATCAATCAGCTAAAAGTATTTAACAGTTCACGTGATAATAGATGGATAATCATTGGGAAAGAAGTAAATGTATACCTCATTGACTGAAGGGCGTGACCTTTTCCCCATACCCCTTTCTGAAAACCAATCTAGCTGTTTCACATAAATAAAAGCATTAAAACACATAGATTAGATCGAGGAAAGGTTTTCAAAGCAAAGAGCTTGCTACCCAGTCTAACCTGGAAATAAAACACCAATCAAATTTGTAGTGGGAGAGAGGATACAAGAACTACATAGAGAAAATAATGTGCAAGTGATGACATAATATTTTAGCTCCAAGATGTTGTTCAAAAACTCGTCTAACAAAAAATTAACTATATATTTTATTTCCTTTCAACAAATACAACACTACCATCATCGACAGTACACAATCCAATGCTAATATGCTTGGGCGCTATGAAATTATACCCCATGGTCTACGAGTACCCAATTGCGGTCAGGAAAACGCCCTTTGTGCTCACAGAAAATGGCACATTGGTGGCTGATGTCTCCGATTGAACAACCACTCCCGTTCTCTTCGTCAATCTACTAAATGCTTCACCAAGCTTCACGTGCAGCATCAATAGTAATGCCAGAGCCCAAAAACCCAGCCAGGTCCCAATCCTCTGCTACAAAGCCTAGCAAAAGGTACTGAGTGAACACCATGTCTTTGCCCAATGCCTTTGCCTCCACGCCGCTTGGGGTCCCAAGATCTCCGTCGCGTACTTGCTCAAAAAATTGGAGAAAGTAGTATAATAATCAGAGATAGAAACCAGAGATACATTACTTGTAGATTGTGAAAAATGAATTTGAATCAGAGAGAAAAATGAACGGGAGGGAGATCGTGAGAAGATTTTGTTGGACGAAGGTGTGGATGATAGTAGGGTGTTAATTATTTTGGGCTTCTACAATTTGAGCCCATGTATAAATTTATTTAGGAAAAAATAAAGTTTTTGGCAACACTCAACAAAAAATGATATAGGAATGATTAGAATAACCTATATTTTATCCTTCTTTTTGTTTCTTGGAGGAAAGCCTGAAATTAGGCTTTTTAATTTGAGCCTAGTCGAATTAAGCGCTTTAGATCGAATCCAAATAACGACAACGTTCAATGCACCTTGCTAAAAGATTAATGGCAACGTTCAAAAAGCATTGCTAAAATACTTAACGATAACGTGCAATGGACATTACAAAAAGATTAATCGCAACATTCATATGCGCATAGTTAAAAATGTTTAACGGCAACACGCACCACTCGTTGCTAAAAGGTTAATGACAAAGTTTATGAACGCGTTGTTAAAACATCTAATGGCAACTTAGATTACTTATTGTTAAAACTAAATAATGGCAATGTGTACCACACATTGCTAAAACATTGAGAGCAACATGCATTGCACATTGCAAAAAGAAATTCAACGACAATGAATTTAGAACGTAGTATAATGGTGTATTAGCAACATTCCTTATAAAAATGTTGTCAAAACTCAATTTAGTCAACTAGTAACAACATAGACTTGCTAAGTGTTGCAACAAACTCCTTTCAGCAACATGCAATTGGTGATGTTGCATTTTGCATGTTGCAAAATATCTTTTTTCTTATAGTGATGATTCTTTGTAGAAAAGCTTCAAAAGATTTATATTTTCTCTCGAAATCTATAAAATCTAGGTTGTGTAATTTTTTGATCAATTCAAAATTCTCTCTCTCAAGTGCCAAATCTTAAACATCAAATTATTCAATCAGTGACCAGTTAATTGAAAGCATTAACTATCAAAACATCGTCTCAAGTATCAATTACATCAAACCCTAGATGAATAACTTAGTTCATGATTGGAGAATAAGAAAATCTATAATTAATTATCAAGAACATAAAGAAGAAAAGAGATAAAAGTTGTTTTTGGAGTTGATTCAATCTTATTCTTAATGTTTCTCTCATTTTCGTGTTTGATCTTTTGCTTTTGCCGTTGAAAAGAGTCTCTATGCATTGTAGTTTTTTAAATTTGCCTCTAAGTTTTTTAAATTGTGATAGTTTGTCCCAAAAGTTTTAGAATCTTGCAATTTAGTCTCTAATCCTTTCAGTCCCTAAACTATCTATGCATCATAGATTGGCCCTGGTGTTTTCTATTTTGTACAAATTGGTGAGTAAATTTTCCTGATTGTTCAAATCAGTCCTTAAAGTCTAATTGTTGCAAGCTTGCTCATATAGTTCCTAGAAGTTGCAGATTGATTCTTGAAATTCCATTATTGCACTAGTCAGTCCCCAAGTTTCCATTAGTCTATAAACTAGTCCCTAATGTTTCTAACTTGACCAATTGCTTCCCTGAAGTTTCAAATTTTGGCAATTCTATCCCTAATTCATCGAATTTCTAGATTTTGAGATTCTGTCTCTAGATGTTTTAATTCGAAGGCAAGTGGCATTGTAATTTGTGCTCCATTATATTTCACCAGCTCTAGATTCATGTCATCAAGATGAACAGACTGCTCCTCAACATCTGACAGGTTCCAACCTACCCTTTGTTACTCCATCATTGTTCAAATTTTTTTAGCCAAGTAACAACGAACACTACTGAATTAGAACAAATTTTGTCACCAAATTTGCTTGGAGGAGTGAGAATCATATCTAAGTGCCTATTTGTAACAATTGTCTTTTTTGACTTAATATCTCACAGTGGGACCCTTTTTAGGAGGGCAATGGGCATATAATGCATTCTAGGGTTAAAAAAAATAAAAAGCAAAATAAAGCGATGAATGTAAGTAGCATAGAGAGGTTAACATCGTCAATGAGGCTCTCTGGTGGTGGCATGTGTTGTAACATAAAAAATAGAAGTTTTAAATCTCAAAAATAAGACCTCTATAATTTTCAGTTTTGATTTAAATTTTAGATTTAATAAAAAAATTAAAAAATTAAATTTTTAAGTGTAACTTATTTTCATGACTTTAAACTCAGCTTGAAAAACATAATTTAGAAATATATCTTCTATACATTTTTATATTATATTCCTAAAGTTTTGGTAACTTGATAGATGTTCCTTTTTTATTTTCCTACGATCGTGCTCTATAGAAATAGTATCGACTGTGAGCTAGAAATGTTTTATCTTAGAGTCATATAGTATCAAAAGTATCTGTATGAAGGGAATGTTACACGACTTTAGGACAATGTCCTTGACGTGATTTTTTAAAATTTACTTTCTCTCTTTTTATATTTATGTTATTTTAATTTATTATGTTACTTGCTAATCTACACACAAAAATTACTTATTTTTCCCAACAGCATTTGCAGCATATGGGCATGTGGGCACATTAAAGATCGAAAAACATTTTCTTGGCTGTCCAACTATGGAGGCTCGTAAAGGCCATTTTTTATGCAATTTGGCAAACTCTAGAGTGAAACATGGTAGCTAAAATTAATTTGAATCTCCACTTAATACAAATAAAACAATCAGTTCGCTCCATATAATATTTTCTAAACTCCACTTCATTTGTTTGATGTAGAGGAAGCTATGTTTGCAAAAATACGCAACTTAAAGATCGTTAGATGAAACTCATCCAGAAATTAACTAGTTGACCAAATACGCAACCCTTGATCTTTAGTTGAGCATTTTAAAGAAAAAAAAAAGGCAAAATTGCATCTTCGAATTTAGTTATTAATAATAATTGAAAAGGAGAAGAAAAAACACAAAAGTAAAAAACTTCATCTCCTCCAACCAAAACTCTACAATCTCATTCATTATCATCTCTACCACTACCACCACTAAAACATGTCGCCATAAGCCTCCTCGACATATTGATTTCCTGCCATTTCCATTTCTTCTTCTTTTTTATTATTATTAATTGTTTCTCTTTTAATATTTTAATTAATTACTTATGAAGAAGATACCTTTTACCCTTCTTCAAACGGTTTGGTCAACGTATTTTTAGACACATTCCATTTAAAGGTCCTTATTCCGTATTTTTACAAAATTTGGGACTCTATATAGTTTTTTGAAATGTTTGGAACTCTGGTGCAATTTTCCCTGCCAAACCTACAGTTCCCCAAACAGAATTCTCGAATATGCTGAATTGCTGAGAATCATTACGAAAAACAAGGGTTGCAAAATTGCCACATGTACGGTGAGATTACCCTCAACTGGATTTTTTTTTGTTTTTTTTGGATATCCAAGTATCCCATCTTACACCAAACTAAATTATGGACCTCCAAGACCCATGCCCCTAGAACCTTGAAAGGGGTAAATCGCGAGTTATGCCTCAACTGAATCACAGGTTTTCTGTCCATTGACTGTACACTTCTATGCATAAGAGACTCTCGTCCACATTGATTGCTTCATACCAAATATTTTGGCTGCAAGTTCCCGCTGAAAATCGAACTCTCCACCTATCGTTGGAAGCAAGCCAATATTGATTGATCAACCAATTGAGCTGTGCCCAGATAGCGTCGTTCAAACGCATTATTATGTTATCAAATTCTCTCTCTAGGTTACCAAAGCTTTCTCTCTAGATAATTCTCTGTTACAAGGTTTTTGTTGGTCTATAATGGAGATGAAACGTGTGACGGAGTTGACATTGGATTGGAAACCAGGGAAGAGGCCACGTTTGGGCTAGGATGTTCTATCTCTGGAAACTCCTAAGGTATTTTCAGATCTAATGTTGTGTTTCTACAAAATTTCCTTTTTTTTCTGGGTTAATGTAGATTTGGTAAAAAAAATTTAAAAAAAAAATTGAACTTTATTGGATCACGTATGAAAGAATTTCTTATTCTTATGTGCTTAATTGCGTATTTTGGAGGTTTAAAAGATTTTTGTGAATCTGGTGAACTTTCTTATAGTTCTGAATTGATCTGATTGTGAATCTATGATCAACATATGTAGCTTTAGTAGAAAATAATGAGTTTGATAAATTCTTGGATAAATAAATCATTTATAAATTTCTAATGTCCAATTCAAGCTAATAATATATGTTAATGCTTCTTTGTGTTATTACAACTTAGGAATTTTCGGGAGAAATATGCAAATTTTGATTTTCATTAGTTTTTGGGTAAAGAAATCTTCATCAGAAATAATTTTTGGCTTCTTAATGCTCGACCTGTACGGTTAAATTTATATTCATATATTTGTATTGTTTTGGTGGTATAAAGATTAACATTGACATTATTAAGCATTGTTATATGATTTTTATCCTATGATTTTTGTTCGGCGATGATGATTTATACTAAATTTTAAATTGATTGAACAAAATTATTGTAAGAATAGGTGACAGCTAATGGAGTTTTTTAAATAAATGAATACACATCTTAATTTTTTTTCTTTGAAGATTACCACCTGAATTTCTTTACCATGATATTATGGTGACGATTGTCAATATATCTTTGTTTTTGTTTTTGAGTGTGATTATGATTGTAAATATACTTGATAATATGGATATTAATCAAATGATGCTTGACGATGAATGGATTCTGTTCTGTTCATTGTGGAAGGTGGTATTGTAGAGGTAAATAAATCATGAAATTTTTATATTGAGGAAACATGAATGGATGCCTGTGTGTAGGCTCAGTTAGGTCTGTATTGTGGACAAGAGATTGGAAATGTGACGAGCCATGCACCTTCAAGTGTAATCTCATATCCTCATAGTTCTTTCTTTGTTAAGGACTTGGCTCGAAATGGTTCTCCACCGTTGCGAGAAGATGACAAGGATGGCCATTATAAGTTTGAGCTTGGGGAAAACCTAACTTCTCGTTGTAACTACCTTTTACTATCATCAAAACAATTTTTAATATTTGTTTTCTGGCTTTTTTTGGACTGTGTCAATGGTTTTCTTTTTTAAACTAATATGCATATTTATAACAAACACTTTGTAGTAATTGTTTCCATTTTGAACTTATTGCGATTTCATTGACCATTAAATGTGCATCTG